TGGTCAGAAGCTAACCTCTGCTCACACTGTGCTTCCCTCCCAGCTGTTTAGTCAGGAGACTGTGATGAAGTTTGTACCACGGTACAGCCTCGTTCTAGAACTCAGCGACAGCGGGGCCTTCCGGAGAAGCTTGCACGATCCTGATGGGCAGGTGGCCTCCTACATCAGCGAAGTGCACGAGCATGACGGGCACCTGTACCTGGGCTCCTTCAGGGCCCCCTTCCTCTGCAGACTCAGCCTCCAGTCTGTTTAGCAGCCTTGACCATGGCTGTGCCAGGAGTCCTCACACTGGGCACCATCGCCGGCGGGTCCAGGAGATTCTGTGCACACAGCCCTTTTCACCTGCACCTGCCGGTCCTTGGACATGGACATTGGAAGTGGACAGTGAGACCCTTTGGATGTCTGGGCTCCTGTGGGATACCCCTCACCTGGGTTTGACGTTGCATCTAGAGGGAAGCATAACATGCCACAGGGAAGATAAGTCCATATTAAACCATTTCCTCTTAAAAAAACCTAAGTACAGTGATTCTATTCTCTAGGACTTAGGAGTCTTCATACACTTAAAATAGGCCTCAGGGTTTGGTGGATAGAGCAGTAGATGAGATGTCCAGGGATCTTGTTTTTGCTATTGGCTGTCCTGCCAGCCTCAGTATCTTTACTATAAAATGTGGTTAATACCAGTCTCTGGAGGTGGGGCACAGGAAGGGCAAGGAGAGCTCAGTGCAAAAGTATGTTGAGGCCAGTGAGTGGAGCTGTGTAAATGGTAGAGCTATATTCTCCAGAGCTGTGTGGGCCGTGGGCCCTGGATCCTGTGCGGTCCCTTCCATAGCTCACACTCCCCAGCCTGCGCCAGTTTAGCCCCATTCTGAACCAGAGGGTTTTCAAGACTCCTGAGTCCCCATCAACCATTTAAAGGCAAGGACCTGGGAAAGTGCATAGAAGCATGTTGATCCCAGCAGCTCAGAAAGGACCTGCGGGGCTTCTCTCTGTGAACAGACCACATCAATGGAATGATCCAGCAGCTGGGTACTACAGGGCAGAATCTAGGGGAGTCCTGTTGACACCCCTTTGTTCCTTACCTCTAGACCAGCAGATGAATAGTGCACATGTTAATGTCATTTGCTAGGGTGTCACAAGCCCGAAATGGCTGTATATCCTGACAAGCGTGTATACACTGGTCCTAATTTTGTCAGGGGGACCCATGTAGTAATGATAATTAAATTGACTTTCTGCTCATTAACCTTTTCTGATGGTGTTGCCTGGGAGTTTCTTCTCTGATAGAATTAGGTTAACAGTGACTGGAGTTTGATTCCATCGCGGGCTGAGAGGAGGATCCTTTTGGCCAGGACCTTGTTTAGGGACCAGCAGTCCATCTGGCTTGCTCCGCACCCCTCCCAGGGCAGCCGCCTCCAGCTGCCACCTCCCAGCAGTGCTTCATCCTTGGGCAAGTCGCTCTTACACTGTGTTCCTGTCCCCAGCCTACAGAATGGGGTTGATACCTGTTCCTCTCCGTCCTGGCAGTTCATGAGAGTACAGAAGACCTTGTGTGTCTGGAATCACTTTCAGTAACTTGACAAGGAAATATTTTAAATAGGCAACGACAGCTGTGGTAAAACACAAACCGTTTTTGTTGTGTCTCACTGGTTGGCGACAAGCCCTTTGCTCCCTTTCCCAACCACAGCCCCGCCCTGCGCTGGCCTGGCCTCGTTTTAGGGGAAAGGGTCAGGATCTGGAGGTTGGCTCATCTGTTGTGTTGCGTGCTCAGGGATGGCTTCATGTGCGGCAGCAGGACAGAGTCAGAGACTGGCTTCAGTCCAGTTGGTGTGACCCAGAACGTATTAGGTAAATGACTCAATGTTATTTATGTTACTTTAGAGAAAAGAAAATTGAGTATAGATTATTAAATACTTTTTAATAGATGATGGTGCACCCCATATATCAGCTGTACAGGAATACATTCTGCCATAAAAAACAATTTAAATGTGTGGAGCGTATAGAAGTTGACTTCTTGAGAACAGAGGGCTTTTTAGTGCTTGCTTTTTACCAATGCAAAGAAGCTGGTAAATTGCTTTTCAGTTTTCAGCAAAGGAGTCTTGATTTTGATTTAGATGTTGACTTTCTGTCTCAACGTGTCATTTCCTGTGTTTTAGCTGGTAATTTGCCATGGTGAGGTGCAAAATATAGCCTTATTAGGTTTAAATATGTGGTATGCTTTTGTGGTGAACATAAAGCAGATTTACTCTAATGTGAATTACTAACATGCTCTTAAAATTAAATCAAACTATTCGTTCATTGTGTACTTCTTTATTATCTATTATAAAAACTCCACTGGGACTCAGGTACTGCCTTTCATAGGACAGAAGGCCTGTTTTGAGATTTTTATCATCAACATGCATTTGCAGGGTGGTCTGTAGTTTAGAAAGTGTTTTCATGAACACTGACGTTTTACTGATGGAAGGAGATACAGTATTTTTATAGGGGGAACTGAGGCTTGCGGGGGCGGGTGGAGAGGACTTGCCCAGACTCACTGGGCACACCGTGCCAGCACACTGCTGAGTCAGGACCCATGGTCTGACTTCAGAATCTGTTGGGGAAGCTGGGAGATGAGGCGGGGTGCTGTTCCCAGGACCTGGCTCTGTGGTGGTCACTGCCCAGCCCAGGGGCTGGACCTTGGCTGCACATCAGAGTCCTCTGGGCTTCCCAGTCTTTCAGAATGGCCTGGTATCGTCATGGTTTCAAGCTTCACAGGTGGTCCCCATGACAGTGGTGGGGCACTCATCACTGCTGGGACCCACCTGTACTCTAAAGGGGCTGGGCTGGGCAGACACCTGGAGCAGGGCCAGTAGAGCTGAATCCCTGAGAGTCTGTGTATAGCTAGTGAGGAGGTGTGGGGCATGGCCAGGGAAAGCTCTAGAACACTCAGGGCAAGACTGTTAGAATTTTGACTGGTTTTGCTCAGTTTTTGAGACCTTGAACAATGAGTTTTTTTTCGCTTCAGTCCTAATTCTGGTATGTCTTAGAATCCTGGGTACTTTACATTTTCTCAGTGAGAATAACATTAGATGATGTCACAGCTTCCCTCTGTGTCAGAGTCATTCTGAGAGTAAAGCTCTGAGTCTAAAAACGCAGGTAAAATTGGGTCAGCAAGGGGTGCCTGGGTGCCTGGGTGGCTCAGTCAGTTAAGCGGCTGCCTTCAGATCACGATCCCAGTGTCCTGGGATTGAGTCCTGCATGGGGCTCCTTCCTCAGTGGGGAGCCTGCTTCTCCCTCTCCCTCTGCCTGCTGCTCTGCTTACTTGTGTTCTCTGTCTTTGTCAAATAAATAAATACAATCTTAAAAAAATTGGGGTGGCAGTATGAGACTTCACGTCATCGCTGGTTGACGTCCGCCACCGATGGTAAGTTACACCATCTCCATGTGGGTGTTTTGTTTCATCTGTTTGAATCCTACCAAATGGCTCTCTGGCCAGTCCCCTCCCAGGCTGGGCTTTGCTGTGCTCGGTCTAGAGTGAAGTCTTTCATGGGGTGGGGGTGAGGGGCAGAGTTAGGCTGCTAGAACAAGCAGCATGCCCACAGGACCTGCTCTCCAGGCAGCTATAGCCAGACGTCTGCAGTAGTGTGGTTGGCAGATGTGTCTGGAGGACAAGGGCCCATGAGCTCTTGGCTTCCAGAAATCAGAGTAGCTTCACACGGGCTCACTGGCTCAGCCCCTTTCCTTCTGGGGCCGCTGCGGCTGGTGTAAGCGTTATTTAAAGTCAAGCATTGTCTTCTGTGAGGTATAGTACATAAAGCAGATTGGGGATAATAAAACAGCTGACGTATTAGAGAGTTCAAGTCGCCTAGAGTTCAGGCCCTAAGGTCCCCATGTAGAGAAGGTTTGCAGAAGCCTGAGATTGGGGGACCCACAGTCAACTGGCTTTTGCCGGAGCTGGTCTGTCTTAGTTCTAAGACTTCTGTTTACTTTATAGGAAGAGATTTTAAATACCTGGCCCCAAATGATGTTTCGAAAATTGTGGGCATAGGTTAGGGTTGAAACCTGAGAGTTTGGAGATTCAGATTTGAGGCTTCCTTCTCTGTCCCCAGACGTAAGGTCAGCCCTGGCTCCTGGCTGGGCAGAAGGAGGTTCAAATGCAACTCAGCTCGGAGCAGAGGTACTGTGAGGCTGCTCCCCCACACCTGTGTGTGCATTCTCATTTCTGACCATGAGGCCAGGTGGGCCCACAGGCCTGGAAGCCTAAGTAATAATTTTCAGGAGAGGCCTGGCCTTCATGTGCTCTGGGCCATATTTAGATGTTCATGAAGATCAACTGGGAGTTCGCATGGGTTCCTACCTTCATTTGCTGCAACATCCTGCCCCTTCAGCTGTGTCCCGAGGCCCATCTGAGTCTGAAGCTCTTGACTCCTGGTGTTCCTGCACCTTGTTTATGTATGGTGTCAACAATGCTGGGTGGACTTATTTATCTTGATGAAAGGGTGGCCTTCAGAATCATCAAATAAATTGTCTTGTGGCATAGTTGCCATCACTGTCCCTGAATTAAATGACCAGAAGGAGGCGAGCCAGCAAAAATGAGTGAGGATTTGGAAATTAAAGCTCTCCCCTCACTGAAGGAAGCCAAAGGGTAATTCATTTTGGTTGTACACGGTGATCAAGTTTACAACTGCATACCAAATTGTCATACATATTTAATGCAGATTTTGTTTCCTATGAATTATCAAGTCCATCAAGAACTTGGGTGTATGACTCTTGGTCAGAAGAAAGCCCAGCTAGAGGTTGAGTGCCCTCCAAAGTGGGGTGCTACCTGCCCTGCCAGTTCATGATGTGGACACAGGCCTCTGGTCTTCAGTATAGTTTAGCTGGCAGTGAAAGGCCAGAGAAGCCTCCAAGGGGCTTTTTGGAAGTCACTTAAGACTCATCAGACCACTCAGTGAGAGGGACCCCTCACAATGTTCACCTCACCTTCCTGACCCTTTAACAGGTTAAAGCAACAGGTGTTGCTTTGAGATGGTCAGTTCTTTATTCATATTTATTCATAGTTTTATTCATGCACAAAATGTCAAGATGCACAATAGCTGACTTGTCCCCCTGCCCAAGGCTGTAACCATTATTTGGTCAAAGGGATGATCTTTGGGCTTTCATTGCTGGATGTGGGACCACCAGGTAATCAAGTGGGAGGGGACGGAGGGGGCTCACTCAGGGGTCCAGAACCTGAATAATTACCATCAGAGCATCGGTAAAATTAGTTAGATTAGAAGAAAATGAGAAATACATACTCTAACCACAGGCAGTATCATTCTTCCACCCTGGCTACTCTGTGATGAGCCCACAGGCACTTCCGTTTTGGCTCACTGGTGAGCCACTACGTCGGAAGGTCCCAGGGCCTGTGACAGCCAGGGCGGGGCTGTGACCGCGTGCAGTAAAGAGCAGGAGTGCAGTGTTGCTGAGAGGCTGAAGTCAGCGACAGCGGAGAACGGGCACCTCGAACCTCTGGAGCCAGGGGATGACCCAAACTTCCGTGTAGCAACTGAAAGTCTGAAACAAAGAAGGGCACACTGAGACCCCCCCCCCTCCTGTCCCAGAGCCTGCACTCCAGACAGGCTCCGTAGCAGTTAGGTTCCCTGCAGCGGTGGGCGGTGTGTGCGCATCTTCCTTAGGACTTTTTCCCCCTGCCCCAAGTTTTTATTTTGAAAAATTTCACATCTACAGAATTGAGAGATTCAAGAATATATACTTTTCACTTTCTTTTGCAAATTAATTAGATGTCACATTTGCTCTCTCCTGCATGTGTATGTGTGTATATGATTTCTGAACTGTTTGAAAGCTCCTTTTGTTCTAACCTCCCCTGCCCCAAGCCCAGGGTGTTTATTTCCTGGAGCTGTGCTCCTCAGGGGAGTGGTTTGAGGTGCTCTCTTGCGATCCCTGCGTCTGTGTTCTCCCAGGTCTCTGGGTACTGCACGGATGCTGGGACTGAGATTTGGAACCTTGCAGGCAGAGAGGTGATGAAGGGGATGGTTCCCAAAGCCCTGGGGAGTGGGCGAGGGCTGGGACAGCAGTGAGTAGGTGTGAGGAGGTGAGACCCCTTCGTTTTTACCCTTTTTAAGGTATGGTTGGTCTGGAAGTGACAGTTGTCTAGAATAGGGTGCTGGGTCTTCTTGCAAGAAGTTCTGCCAATCTTCATGTGCAGCATGTACTTCAGGCCCTTCACGATCTACGGGAAAGAGGGGCCGGGTCAGTGTTATTCTGTCCAGGACAGAAGGGTGGCTGCTCCTTCACCAGCAGGAGGCGGCATGGAGACCAGGGGGAAGGATGCCCAGATTCGCTCCCGGAAAGGGGCTGAGCATCTGGGACCCATCAGAGAACTCCGGTGTGGGGGCTGGGGGCGGGGGGAAGCTGCCGCTTGTACCCAGGCTGCTCCCTTCCTTTCTTACCCACTCATATCATTCCTGCTCATGGTGCCAGTTCTCGGTCCCCAGGTGAGACTGGGGCTCTGGGTCTGTCCGAGGACATTTCCTTCCTGCCCAGAACTCTGCGCCTCACCTCCATGCCCAACACCCACCTGCGGCCTGTGCTGACCCGCCCTGCATGCCAACAGTGGTTGCTTTTCCCCCCAGTTTCAAAATAGACCTTTTTCACGTGAATGCAGCAGCAACTGGTTCCTTCTCACTTGCGGTCTCTCAATGAAGCCTCATTGAAGTGAGGTGAAGTAAAGTCATCCCCAGTGTCATCTATCCCCTCCCAGAGGCCCTTGAGCACTGGCAGGAGCACCAGGAACTTGCCGTGTTTCGCAGGAGGCGAAAGCCTGGCTTGGGAAGACCCCACGGCCCCTGGGGCGGAGTCCCCAGAGAGATGACCCTTGGGCTATTTCCATGGGAAATAGGCTTTTAAAGCCCACCTGACACCAGCTTGCCTTTCTGCCACATGCTTTCTAATCATAAAAATATGCTGTTCTTAAAAAAGTTTGCAATTTTCGAAAAGAATAAGGATTATAAGAATTTCCAACAATCCTGTGACACGGGTAACCATTACCAGTATGCGTAAAAACTGTTAGCGTCCGAGTGGGACCACCTCACCATCTTCCCCTGGGGTTTGTGTGTGGGGAAGGAGCAGTGGTTTGGACAAAGCTCTCCGAGTGACACGGCCCAGATGGAGAACGGCAAGAGGTCCCTTGGGGCTGCGGTGCGGGCAAGGGGTGGGGTGGGGCGAGGCAGGGCGGGAGCTCCGATGGGCCGTCTAGTGGTTCCTGCAGGCTGGCCTTCTGCTTCTGCCGGCGGATGGCTTTCATGCCCGGCTGCAGTGGCCTGTTCCACCCCTGCCCTCCTGGGTTCCGCTCCAGATGTGCTGTCGGCCCCTGCCTGGTGGCTGCACCCAGGAGGAGCTTGCTTTCACAGGAGGTGGCTCAGGGCTTTCTTGCTGTGCCCTGGGTGTCTCTGGCTGTGGCTGCTCGTGGGCTGCCTGTGGCCCTGCTGTCAGCCTCCCGGCTGGGGGCCACACTCTAGATGGATGGGCACTAGCTGGTCAGCCCCTGGTAAGACAGAAGCCACTGCAGCCTGGCCACTTAGGGGTGTCCCCAACCCTCACCTGGACCAGGGCTTTGCTGATGTGGGACTCCTTGAACAAGAAGATGTCATTTGTACAGTTGTTGAACTTTTCAACGCTGTGTCTGGCTGCTTGGAGGACTCCTGGGTCGTGGGGGTTTATTGTTTTGGGAAATCCTGGCTTCACATCTGGGTTAAGGGTCTGGGAACAAAAATCTGAAACAGAGAAGCACAGAACCAGACAAGAACATTGCTGTGAGCAGGGTCCTTGGGCCCAGTGTTGCACCTCACACCTCGGTTCTGCGGTCTGCTCCCAGTGTGGCCCCTGGCCGTCTATCTACCCCCTCAACCAGCCACCCCACACCCCACAGAGCATTTGTTGTGCTTCTTGCAGTTTCTCCCTCAGAGCTGAGGCCCAGGCACGGTGGATGGTACTGTGAGGAATGGAAGGTAGTCCTGGCCCGCGGCGCCTGCCCGCACAGGCTTTCTCGGAACCCAGGGTGGTTTCTAGCATGTGTTAAAGGAAACCTGACCGTGTCTTCAGGGGGCAGAGCCTCTGGATAGGACGCAGCCCCGGAGGGTAGAAGGTGCCTCAGTTGGCCTTTGAGGCCACCGCCATCTGGACCCAGCCCCTCAGTGTGTCCCCAACAAGTGGACCATGGAGAAGTGCCCGAAGGCGTGTCCTGCCTTCTCACTTGCTCGGACGCTGCTGCTGTCCTCTCCCTCAGTGATTCTTGTCGGAATCCACCCAGCTTCCAGGCCCTGGGTTGGCCCATCCGCACCTGATGCCCCTCATGTGCTGCCTCCTGCCATGCCCTTCTGGGTACAAGTCCGAGGACAGGGATCAGGCCTGCAGAGCTGGCACCTGGTGGAGGGAGGACGACTGGCTTTCTTTCATCCTTCCATGCTCTTCCTATTCTGAGGCGGCCCATATTTGGATTAAAGATGGGGTAAGCAACGGGAGGGGCTTCTCCCCTGGCACTTGGGTCCCCCAGTGTCTGACAGAACCAGGGACCCCCATGCCGCTCCTCTCCTTTCCACGTCCGCTGGTCCCAGGCCCCACAGAAGCAGAGCCCGGCCACGCCCCGAGGACCCTCGCTGAAGGAGGACCTGACTTCATTCCTTCGTCCGGCTCGCTCACTGGCCCCTCTGGAGCCCTCCTCATCCTGCAGGCTCTGGGGGTACAGAAGCTTATGTTCACTGCAGTTCACATCCCGTCAATAAACAGGCAAGACAAACATCAGAGCAGCAGGTGAAGCAAGGCAGGAGCTGTGCAGGGGTCTGTCCACAGCAGATGCAGCAGCAGGCTGTGCCATCTGCACAAACCTGGATGGAGGCGCCGAGAGCAAGCGAGAGGGGCTGGAGGGCAGAAGTGTTTGATGGCTCACGGCCCCAGCATGGCCGAAGCAAGGAGGGCATGTGGGGAAAGGCTGAGGGGCAAGGCCGGGCCCGGCACAGGTGTGTGCTCATTTGGGTCACAAACTTTGGATTTTATTATAAAGAAAACAGCAACATAAAAAGCCCCACAGGCTCCGTATGGCAACAAGTGAATGGTGGCCTTTTCTGGTTGGTGGCTCATGATGAATTTAGGTTTCTGTCCATTTCTACAGTGGACAACTAACATCTAAAAATAAAAAGTTGGGGCACCTGGATGGCTTAATTATGTGTCTGACTTCAGCTCAGGTCATGATCTCAGGGTCCTGGGACTGAGTCCTGCATTGGGCTCCCCACTCAGTGGGGAGTCTGCTTCTCTCGCTCCCTCTGCCCCTTCCCTGCTTGTGCTCTCTCTCTCTCTCTCAAATAAATAAAGTCTTAAAAAAAGAAAAAGTTTTGGGTGCCTGGGTGGCTCAGTTGGTTAAGCGACTGCCTTCGGCTCAGGTCATGATCCTGGAGTCTCAGGATCCCATCAGGCTCCCTGCTCAGCAGGGAGTCTGCTTCTCCCTCTGATCCTCCTCCCTCTCATGCTCTCTCATTCTTTCTCTCTCAAATAAATAAATAAAAAATCTTTAAAAAAAATAAAGTTTTGGGGGGAAAATCTAAACTGGGAGGGAGGAGGGAGAAGGGGAAGAGAGTTTTTAGATTTGTAAACTGCTTCTCTTTAGGAAGACGTTCTCCCAGATTTTCCTGAAATGTTAGCCTTCTAGAGATGATTCAGAGCTGAGCTGTTTTAGTTCATTAACTAAATTAAACAGAGTGTGAAGTTCAGCTTCTCAGTGGCATGGCCCCGTTTCAGGTGCTCAGTAGCCCCACGTGGTCGTGGCGGTGGGTGCCGATAGGGACACTGTGTCCTTGCAGAGGACCCCAGGGGACTGCACTGCCCTGAGACTTCACTCGCTTCCCTCTACTGTGACCTCAGGGAGCACCTGTGGCGCAGGCATCTGTGTTCAGTCTGGGGAGACTGAGTTTAGCACGAGGCAGAGGTGCTGAGGCAGCAGGAAGTGGAGACTCGGGGTGTGTGGGTAGCGGCAGTGGTAACCAAGCTTCCGGGCTGAGCATATGTAAGGTGGAAAGATGGGTACTGACCTGTGCCCACCTCCTGAGCGCCAAACTCCAGCTCAGACCCGAGACATCCAAGTATATTTGGGTGGTAAAAGATAACGGCGACAAGGCATGCAGGCTTTGCGGGAGTCAAGATACCATCTGGTCCCCCCGTGAAGAAATCTCAACTTTAGGGGAGGAAGCTGGGAGCATGAATTCAACAGAGTATGGGAGCTTTAATAGAAGCTGCACTGGGATATCCCACTGAGGACAAGGAGTCCCCCACGCATGGAGACTGACTGAAGGGGGCTGAGGGAAATACCCACTACCTTGTATGGGGGGTCGGGTTAGATAGGGCCAGTGGGCTGGCTAGGCTGGGGAACTGCCTTGGGTGCTGCGCGCCTGCTATGGCCTCTTGTGTACGTGAGACCCCTGCCGAGTGCGAGACCCAGGACGGGGTTGGGGGGCATCTGGCTGGGTGGTCTCCCCTCCCCTGTGTGTGGTGCAGCGGAAGGGAGCCCTGAGAGTGGGGAGAGAAGGCATGAGTCTCTGTGCATTCTGTGACCCTGGGGCGGGGGGGCAGCATCTTGCGGTCTGGGGAGGGCCAGCACGGCCTGACCAAGCAGGGCCTCACCTGGCAAATGGGTCTCCCCCAGCTGGTTCCTTGGGCCCAAAGCTGAAGCGTCAAGACTAAGCTCATGATTTCCTCTGCAAGGCTCCCTAAGCTTTAGCAGCCCCATGGACCTGGCCCCCTGGCCCCGATGAAAGCAACATACCGCTGGGACCCTTCCCAGCACAGGATTATGGCCATCTGCCGGTCCAAGTCTCCCTCCGAGCTCTGTCCCCGACCGGCACTGGGATTCTCCTTTGCAAGAATCCAGCCCTCCTAGGACAGTCTTTTTGCTTAAAGCCTCCAAAGATAGAAATAAGGAAAGCTGCTTGCGTTCCTGGAGTGCCAGCAGCTGGGCTGGTGGGGCTGGGTCGGCCCTGGAACCCGCATTTCCCCAAGCTGCCCACGTGGCTGTGACTCAGGTGGTGGTGCTGGGGGGCCTCGTGGGCTCTGCACACAAACACCCTAACGCGAGGGGGCGGGGCTGGGCTGAGGGCCGTCCCCCGAGCACCTAAGCTTGTGCGCCACACGAAGTCAAGGGTGATTTGTAGTTTAAACCAAAAACCACTGGGGCAAACAACTGCAAGCTTAATTTCTGCTCCTCACTGTAGTCTAGCTGGCAGAGGAAGAGGAAGGCACCGAAGCTCCTGCCATTGGAGAGGAGAGGGTCCCCCCTTTCCCCACTGTGGATCAATACGGCTTCTATTCTTTGCTTTGCATAAATTACATTTATTGCTTTTTCTGGTTATAATCCTACCTATTTTGGGTAGGAAATTTGAAAAATACAGAAAAGTGTAACAAAAAAATTAGTTATCACTCTTAGTATCTCAAATTAGAAATCACTCTTAGTAACCAGTGTTAATGGTTTTTTAAATAAAATGTATTAAATGCAATTTAGCTTAAATTGAACAGAATTGAAAATGAAGTGAAAGAGGGGTGTCTGCGTGGCTTAGTTGGTTAAACATCTGACTCTTAGTTTCAGCTCAGGCCATGATCTCAGGGTCATGAGATCGAGCCCCGAGTTGGGCTCTGTGCAGAGGGGGGATTCTGCTTGAGATTCTCTTCCTCTTCCTCACCTTCCCCCCCCCCCCCCCCCCCCCTCTCTTTCTCTAAAAAAAAAAAAATGGAAGTGGAAGTAGGTGAGGCTGAACCTCAGAAGCGTTGTTCTTTTGGAACACATGATGTCAGTTCCTAAGCGATTTTGGTAATGTTACAAAAAGTTTAGGGAAAATACTGAAGTTGGTTTATTTTTATCTAACTACATGTTTTCCTTAAATGTAGGCTTCAAGTCAGTAAATCTTCATCAGTGCAGTTGTCTAAACAAACAATAAAAGCTCCATTTTTAATTAAAAAAAAGGTTGAAAGTCAAATCTATTCTTAGGATTCTTTTTTTTTTTTTTTAAGATTTTTTTTATTTATTTATTTGAGAGACAGAGAATGAGAGCATGAGAGGGAAGAGGGTCAGAGGGAGAAGCAGACTCCCTGCGGAGCAGGGAGCCCGATGTGGGACTCGATCCCAAGACTTCGGGATCATGACCTGAGCCGAAGGCAGTTGCTTAACAATCTGAGCCACCCAGGCGCCCCTATTCTTAGGATTCTTTAAGAGAAATCTAAGGCTTCTCATGGAGAATAAACATCCCAAAGAGGAGCTCTCCTTCAGGGAAGAATGGAAGCCACCAGGCGGGTGCTGAGCAGATGGTGACAGTGCAGGCTGGGTGGCCCGGGGCCCTGGCCAGGGGGGCGGGTCAGTCCCTCCCCCACTAAAGGGGGCCTGGGCTGTCCTCAGGGACGGGGGTTCTGGGGTGTGTGCTGTGCAGCCAAAGTCTGGGGAGCAGGAAAGTTAGAGCTGTTCCTTTCTTGTTACCACCCTGCGGGCAGCGTGTACATCCCCATTCTACAGGAGAGAGACTGAGGCCCCAGAGGAGTGCAGGGTGGGTTTAAACCAGGTTCAACTAATCATAAAGCCCTGTAATAAGAAGATGGGCCACTGCAAGCTTGGCTGGGGGCAGGGGAGGGGGGCAGAGTGTGACATGGCAACCCCATGGAGCTTCCCAGGAGAGATAACAGGTTGAGAAAGAAGGACTTTTGGGTTGCAACGGAACATAAAAGGGCTGAGGACACTGATGTGGCAATTTCCTAAGTCCTGAAGGGCTTAGGGAGGGAAGATGCCATGGGGCTCCGCATTTAGGTCAGTGCAGTTTAGTGTCTGGGCATGGGGAGGTCATGTGCCCAGAGGGCACCAGCATCAGGGGCCCCGTTGCCCCCCACTCCCTCCCAGGAAGGCACTGGAATCTGTTCTCAGGGGAGGGAAGGAAAAGGCTGTGGGAGCCATGGAGGCAGAGTCAGGGCTGGGCTGAGTTCCCGTCTGTTCAGCCACCAGGGGTAGGGGTCTGGGGCCTGCCTGGGGGGCGAGAGAAGCACCCCTCCTCCTTTAACCCCTCAGCTGGTGGAGGGGCCCCCTACCCTCACTCTGGCCCCTGGGCGGTCTCAGGTGGGGCTGCATGTGACAACCACAGGGACAGGACACCCTTCCTCCTCTCCCCCCAACCCTCATTCTTAGCTCTCATGCTGAGGACACCCTTTCCCGGCCTCCTGTCGGGATACCGCTGTCTTCCTGTGCCCCCCACTTAGTACCCATCCCAGGGGGACAAGTCAGGGGAAGAAGCTGCATGCTCAGAACAGAGACGCACACTCCTTCTCAAAACCTTAGTGAAGGGTCCCCTTAGAGATGTGGAGCCTGCCGTCACAACTGCACTGGGATTTAATTACTGACACTCACTGTCAACTGTTTTGCCAAGTTCCTTCCGCTTGCCTCCGTTTCCTCACGGAACAGAGCAGGGACGGGAACAGGACTGCATGGGGAGTTCAGAGACAGGTGGCGCTGGACGACCGTTCGTGTCCTCACGGGCCATGCCCACATCAGAGCCATGTGCCCCTCCCCTGTCGGACCTGCTGTCTGCCCCTGTGCGCCAGCTGGCAAGTCCAGAGCCCACACTCACATGCAGAGAGTGGGGTACCACAGACTCCCCAAACCCACTAGCTGTGGAACCTGCAGCCTCCCTAAGCCGGGCGGGGCTCATCAGCCAGGAGATGCGTAAAGAACTTGAGCACCCGTGGGCCTTGAAGAGGCCTGACTGCGGCGGCCCATGGAAAGCATTCTCACTGGGCCCGGGGTGCTTGGCAGCCACCTGCCCATATCCCTGCTCCGAGTCTGTGCCGCACCGGTAGCCTTCCCAGCCCACCCCACTGCCCCTCCGAAGCAATCTCTTCTGGTGCTTCCTTCATTTGACAGATGAGGACCCGAGCAAGGGCCTCAGAAAGAGGGGCTTGGAGGTGCCTCTGTCTGGTGGCTGAACAGACGGGAACTCAGCCCAGCCCCGACTCTGCCTCCATGGCTCCCACAGCCTTTTCCTTCCCTCCCCTGAGAACAGATTCCAGTGCCTTCCTGGGAGGGAGTGGGGGGCAACGGGGCCCCTGATGCTGGTGCCCTCTGGGCACATGACCTCCCCATGCCCAGACACTAAACTGCACTGACCTAAATGCGGAGCCCCATGGCATCTTCCCTCCCTAAGCCCTTCAGGACTTAGGAAATTGCCACATCAGTGTCCTCAGCCCTTTTATGTTCCGTTGCAACCCAAAAGTCCTTCTTTCTCAACCTGTTATCTCTCCTGGGAAGCTCCATGGGGTTGCCATGTCACACTCTGCCCCCCTCCCCTGCCCCCAGCCAAGCTTGCAGTGGCCCACCTCTAAGTCTCCCCCAGCAGCCGTGGCCTGTGAGTCCAGTGATGGGAGGGCATGGCCTGCTCCTCTGTGCTCTGGCCGGGACAGGTGCTCACTGGCTGTGTAAGTTGGGCAAGTAACCCAATCTCCTGCCTCAGTTTCTGGAGCACAGCGGCGGCGCCCTCCCTCCCCTTCTCCCCCAGTGCTGGCCTGGCAGGAATGGTCTGATCCTTAGGCTCCGGGGGGCCAAGTTCACAGGACAGCAAGCGGCAGGCAGGAAAGGCAGGCATCACATGGAAACTGCTTAACCTCCACGGGGCATCCCAGAGCTTGGTACCTGCAGGGACCACGGGGGAGCCTCCCTTGGGCCCACAGTTCTCAGTCCCTGGACGGGGAGGGGGCGGACGACAGAGGGCGCTTCTCTCTCCCAACAGGCAGGCCCCAGACCCCCTACCCCTGAACCCCGCAAAGACCGCTGCAGCTGGGATGGGAGCCGCCTGCCCCTGCCGCCGCGCGGTCCCCCGGGGCTGCCAAGCCAGCAGTGTGCCTTGGGGACCCGGGCGGGAAGCTCAGGGCGCGCCCGCCACCGACGGGCAATCAGGGGACCTCGCCTCGGAGAGCGGCCAGAGCTCCGGAGCCCCGCAGCCCCGTCATGAAGCGGCCCAGGGCAGACCCTGCTCTTACCTCGCGAAGGGCCCCCGGTGGTGCTCAGGACCAGGCAGCAGAAGGCGAGCAGCAACCCGACCCGCCGCATGGCTGCCTGCGCGGAGGGCAGCGTGTGTTGGGGCAGCCGGGCCGGGGCCGAGGGCAGTGCTGGGGAGCTGAGAGGGGGGGCCCCGCCCCGCAAACCGCCCCCCGGGCGGGGGTGGGGGCTGCCTGCCTCGGGTGGGGGTGCGGGGGGCGGTGATGGTTTCTTGCTGAATCATTTTGACCAGAAGCTTCTCACCTGAATACTTATGGGCTACAAAGTAAACCGCTTCCTTTATAAAAGTTTCCAAACAGAGATCACTTACAAGGGGAGGAGGCAGAAATAAGAGCTGTAACAAAACCTTTGCGATTTTCTACTCTCGAAATATACATGGAAGAGACATCGCGTTAAAAAAATTAGCAGGGAGGCGCCTGTGTGGTTCAATCGGGTAAGAGTCTGCCTTCCTGTTGTGATGAGCATTGGGCGTTATACTTAACTAATGAATCCTTAAACACTACATAAAAAAGCTAATTATGTACTATACAGTGGCTAGCTGAACAACAACAACAACAACAAAAAGAGCCTGCCTTTGGCTGGTGTCATGATCCCCCATCCTGGGATGAGCTTGCTAGGGCTCCCTGCTCAGGCGGAAGTCGGCTTCTCCTTCTCCCTCTGCCCCTCCCCCCGCTTGTGCTCCCTGTCTCGCTCACTCTCTCAAGTAAGTAAGTAAATAAATAAGTAAATAAAATCTTTAAAAAAAAATCAGCAGGGATTTTCGAAAGCAGAATCATCTGGGTTTCCTTTTCCAAAGGACACACTTCTCAGGCCCATGATTCCAGCGTTCTGAGTGGCCCCCTGCAGGAGACTGTCCTCTGTTTGTGTGAGTGGGCATCTCCCCTTAGGAAGTGGGCAGGAAAATTGGGTGCGGACTGAAATTTCAGAGAATGGACATCGCCAGGAAACATGCTCTCTCTGGGTGATTTCTGCACCTGGAAATTGGCAGACAGTAGTGTTTGCTGATCTCTTCCCAACTTTGGCTCCACACTGGCAAAGGTGAAGAAAGAACAGGGGTGTTCCAGAACAGACAGCGACCCAGAGGTTTGCTTCCCTTTACATGCCCAGCCCAGCGGTTAGAGTGCGGTCTCTGGAGCTCATGGCTTGAATTTGTTTGAATTCGGCTCTGCCTTTTAACACCTGGGTGACCTTGGGTGAGGGATGGCCTCTCTGTGCCTCAGTTTCCCCCTCATGGTTGTGGCGAGGTTTGGGGACTTCCTCAGTGTACATCCTCAGGGCTGGGATAGAGCATATTGTATGGTCTTAGCTGCAGGGGCCCCTCCCCACCCCCGACTTCAGGACTACCCTGGCAGGAGGAAGGAGACGCCTGAGCCTTACCCAGAAGGGTCCTGCTGGGGCATAGTGGCTTTTGGGTAGGGAGATCTGGGTTTGTGTGACTCGGACAAGCCATGTAAACTCTTGGGACCTCCCAGGTTCCTGGCTACTCAGAGATTTGTCATGAGAACTGTAATTAGCAAAGCATGTTTGGTACAGCGCATAGCTGGTAGCATTCAATAAGTAGGGGGCTGCTGTACGCGCCCCCACGTTCTGCTGGGTCTGCTGTGTTGGTCCTGGCCACTCACCCTCTGGTTGTCAGTGGCCACGACACAAGGGCCCCAGCGTGGCATCTCCTCGCCAGGCTCTGTGCCCTGGCCACACGTGCCACGTTCAGTGTTCATCCCCAGCAGGGGACTGGGCTAGAGGAGAGGCGGTGTCGTGGCATTGGTGTCTTTGCTCAACTCTAGTGGCAGGTTACCACGACTGCTTATTGTTAGTATTGTGGGTTATTCTCCCTTTCAGAAGCACAGGGGGAAGCTCAGAGTGGTTTGGAGACTTGCTCTGTTTACTGCATCTTCTCTGGGCCTCGGCCCTGTTGTCTGTGAATGTGGGTGATGGTCACCAGCCTGGTGCCTCAGGCAAAGCACAAGGGGGCCCTGTTAAATCACAAAGTGCCACAGCAGGAAGGAGCTGTTTTACAGCAGCATCGTTTCAGGGTCCTCTGGGGGAAAATTGTGTGTGTGTATTTGTGCGTGTGTGTAAATGTGTATGTCTGCATCTATTCACTGTGTGTATGTGTGTGTGTCCATGAGCCTGCCTTTGTTTCAGTTTTTACATATGTTGGAGTAGGAATGCACATAAGTGTGTTCTGACTGTGCACAAAAGGAGAGTATGTAGTGTGCTTATGTGCATTTGTGTATAAGTCTGCTTGAGTGTGTGCTTGTGTGTATATGTTGTGATGGTTCATTTTATGTGTCGACTGGGTCACAGATATTGGCCCAGATATTTAGTTAAACATTATTTCTGCGTGTGCCTCTGAGGGTGTTTCTGGATGTGATTAGCTTTTGAACCGGTAGACTGAATAATTGCCCTCCACACTGTGGTGGGCCTTGTCTAAACAGTTGAAGGCTTGAGTAGGAAGGAAGGCTGAGGAAGAAAGAATTTTCTATTTGTGTGATTGTCTTCAGACTGGGGCATTAGTCTTCTTCTCCTGCCTTAGGACTCAGATTTCGACTGGAACTTATACCACCAGCTTTTCTGGGTCTGCATTTTCTGGGTCTGCATTTTCCAGCCTCCATAATCATATGGGCCAATTCCTTATAATAAATCTCTTTACACACATGGACACACCCCCCATCCCCACACACACCCTATCGGTTCTCTTTCTCTGGAGGACCCTGACTGATCCATTTGTGTACATGTCTGTGCCTACAGATGTCTGTGTCTGTGAGTAAGTGTGTATCATTTGTATGCCTGTGTTTCTGTGCTTATGTGTCTGTATGTTCATATGTGTGTGTGTCCATGTGTGTTTCTGTGAGTCTGGATGAAAGGCTTTTGTACATACATGTCTCTGTGTGCACGTGCTTGTGTGTGGGTGTGTGTGTGTTACCTGCACTATTTCTGTCCCATCCAAGGCCTGCCAGGACTGATGCAGGGGTGATCATTCATCCGTCCTTCCGCTCCTTGCTGCTGGAAGTGCGGTCCCTGGAACTGGAGTCCCTGGGAACTTGAGGGAAATGCAGATGCTCAGGCCCCACCCCAGACCTTCTGAATCAGATTCCCTGTGAGTGGGGCCCAGGATTCTGTTTTCACAAGCTCTCAAGGAGAATTTTTGGCCCCTAAAGTCTGGAAAGCACTGATTGAACCCATTTTGTCCCACCTCCTGTCTTCTTGTCTCAGTGGCACACATGACATCGTCTGGCCTCCATATGACATCCACTGCTGGCCTTGACCATGCATCATCCCGCCATGTGAAGAACACAGCTTTGCCCACCAACACATAAGCAGAGCTCCTACATGAGTTCCCTGGGGTGAATGGATGTGGGAGGGACATGGGGCCGGCCAGGAAAGCCTGACTTGGTGAAACCCAGGCCGTGTGCTCTTCCTCCCGAGCAGATGCGGCCACGGCCCCAGATCCATCCCTCTGCTGGGCATGAAGCAGAATTGGAATCTAGTTTTGCTAGAACCTCTGAGCCGGGACTTCTCAGGCCCAGCCTGCACAGCTGGGGAGCCTCGGATCTTTGGCTGGGTGGGCAGGAAGTGTGTCTGTCTAACGTGAGGAAGTACAGACATTGGTGGAGGACCTAGGTTTGGGTCCCTCTCTCCCAGGATCTCTTGGGAGCTCTTCCTTGCCTCCCATTGGGATAAGAAGAGGGAGGGGAAGCTTAGGTGGCATGGCCCCTGGGTGGCTGGGTTTCCCTGACTCTCTGACGTCCATCCTTCCTGCCACGTGGGACACAGCTGGCAGCCTCATGGCCAATTCAAACACATTGAATTTACTGCAGAGGGGTACATCTCAGCACAGACGGTGTGAACCCTGCTCTCAGGGTGTGTGGCTTGTTACCTCCACTGCGGCTCCCTTTGCAGTTTGCAAGCAAAATCCTATGACATGCCTCTAGTTATTGGATTAGTTATCTAAAACAAACAATGACAGTGACACCTTGGTGGCTTAGTTGTTAGCAGTCTGCCTTCGGCTCAGGTCATGATCCCAGGGTCCTGGGATCGAGCCCTGTGTCGGGCTCCCTGCTCAGGCAGGAAGCCTGCTTCTCCCTCTCCCACTCCCCATGCTTGTGTTCGTGATCTCTCTCTCTCTCTGTCAAATAAATAAATAAAATCTTAAACAAACAAACAAACAACGACAAACTTTGCAGCTTGAAACACACATTTACTGTCTCATGATAATTGCGGGTCAGGATCGGGCACAGCTTAGCTGGGTTCTCTGCTTCAGGGCTTCCCCAGGCTACAATGCAGGTGCCAACTGGGGCTGAATCCCATTTGAGGGCTCAACTGGGGAAGGATCCCCTTGTAAGCTCATGTGCTTGTTGGCCAGCCTCAGTTCCTAGCTATGTGGGCTTCCCAGCCTGGCTGCTGGCCTCCTTAAGGGAGGGAGAATGTCCTAAAAAAATGACTTCAGGCTCTCTGAGCCTTGAGAATCTCATGTGCACAAAAGGCACAAGCTGGGCTCTTTGTGGTTTGTGAGGGTCCAACCTCAGCAGGTGTGAAGGGAGCCCTTGAGGCCTGTATCTCACCTACAGACCAGCGGCAACACAACACACACCTCGTAGAATCTGCGGGAGGATAAGGAGACAATGGCTCCTGGCACTTACAAGGTCATAAAAGCCACACCCCTTGAAAAACATGGCAAAGGTTTGTTTGCCCGTGGCTGCCAGACCAGTAGCCGAGTGGCCTTCTCCCTACACTCTGGGAGGTCAGCTGATCCAGAGCTATGGAGAGCAGGGGTGCCAGGCAGAGGCAGGAAAGGTCTGAGAGTGCCTGGGGTTTTGGTGTGTTGAGTGGATGGAAATAATCAAAAGAGCTTCTGTTTGTTGATCACCTCCTGCATGCATATTAGCAAATTGGCTCTGTGAATTGCCTTCATAAGATGGGTATTGTCTTTAAGATGGGTATCAGTGTCCCCACTTTACAGATGAGAAGACTGAGGTTCAGAGAGGGAAAGTCACTTGCCTAGGGTCACACAGTGTGCTTATTCCAGTGCTGGGCCTGGCACCAGCTCTGAGGCTCAACCTGAGGTCTGGACTGTGAAAATCAATAAAGGAAACCTCACTAAAGTGGGCTGGGGAAGCTGGAAGGGGGAGCCCTACCACTCAACACCAATTACAGGAAGAGTTGT